CTTACTTACTTACTTACTTACTTACTTAACTTACGTTACTTACTACTTACTCTACTACTACTACTACTCTACTACTCTCTCTCTCTCTCTCTCTCTCTCTCTCTCTCTCTCTCTCTCTCTCTCTCTCTCTCTCTCTCTCTCTCTCTCTCTCTCTCTCTCTCTCTCGGCATAGAACAAGTAAAGAAGAATTTGTTCGATTTTGATGCAAAGAATTTTGTGTTACTGTATAATTTTCCCATGAATGTTTGGGCAGGTGGAGAATGTAATGTAGTGATTGCTTGCTCGTTGAATTGTTGGTGATTGTTGCTTATTGCTTGCAAAAATTTTAGACAACATGAATATGATTATTGAAATACAATGTGGTTTTGTGAATTAGGTTGCGTGCAACAAAGTGATATGAAATTGGACGAAAGCAACTAGTTGATGGCGGATATTGGAGCTGACAATGTTTTGGGCTAATCATGTGTTATAGAACATGAATATGAGTTGAAATACAGTGTGGTTTTGTATGTTGCATTGGGTACAACACAGATCCATTGGCACTTCTATTTTACTTGAACAGTTGTGGGTTGCATTTTTTAATGGAGTGCAACATTGATCTAGTGGCACTTGTATTTTTCTTTGTAAAATTGTGTCGATGCATTTTGTAATAGTGCAACATAGATCAAGTGACATTTTGAGCTCATACATATGTTTAGTCGTTGGTCTTGTTGTAGGAATGCTTTAATTCTAAGAAAGAAATTAAATATGGTCTACCAAACCAGCATTAATACATGGTCAACCAAGCCAGTTTCATGATCAAGCCAGTTTCTCATTCTCTCTAAACAAGTAGTACACGATGGATTCTCTCTCAAAACATGAAGCACCATGGAAGAGAGAGAAACTCTTGCTTCACTCAGATTTTAACCCATGCTCCCGACTGGACTAAAACATGAAGGTAGAGCGAAAGTGAGATAGTAACTAAACGTCTCTAAAACATTGGAATTCATCGCACTCATTGTAAACCTCTCTAAAACATTGTAATTCATCGCACTCATTGTCCTCAATTGGATACACTGCGCTGTGTTTATTCGGACATCACAATTTTATTGTTGAAGATTTTTAGAAGACGTAGCTTCATCATTTTGCAAATTCCTAATGAATTGATTTTCAGTTTACTTGAAGAATGAGAGATTGTCTTGGAATGCCATATCTCCTAGATATGAGTTACATTGAAGTAGTAATAGTTTGGGAACTTAAGGATCCTCGCTTAACACTTTCTTTTTGATATGTAACTTGGGGTCAAACTCATGAAATCAAAATGGAACAAAAATGTGATAATCAGTCCCAATTATTAATATGTATAAGAACAGTTTCAGCAGTGCAAACCCAACCAACATATATATCTAGGAGAGTTTCTAGTTTTTTTGAGAGACAATGTCAAGTTTCAATAAGCAAAGGCACACCAAACAAGTCTTTTCTTCAGTATAGAATAACAAAATTTAATCACTGTACCCAATTGTACTAACAAACGTTAATATTATTTAACCTACTATCCACATTACAATACATCACCAAACAAGTAAGAGTGATATGAAAATTGAAATATAATTGTAATGATACAACAAGTGGAACACTTGTTGTGGGTTTTACTCTTGTGCCTCCTAATCTGGCCCTGCACTGATTATATTTACAAGAGAACCATTAAAGAACTATCTTTTAATGGTGTTTCATCATAAATATATATATATATCAATACTCTAGTGTTTCTTTTAATATTTTAATAATAGAAATTAGCAAAAATGAAAGAACTATCTTCATAATTGGCAAACATTGCTACATACTCAATTACAAGAGAACCATTAAAGAGCATCAACAAAGGATCCAAGAAATTAGGTTGTTCATACAAATGTGAACTCAAATGCGAGAAAGGTGTCCATCCTTTAGTGTTTGCAGTAAAATCTAAGTTCTTAATTTTTTATGTTTCAAAATTGGAAAAAGTAGTCACAAAAATGAGCTACATTCTAATGGACCTAGCATCTTTTTGTTCTGATTTGATCAAGAAATATGTTGTTTCTAACAAATGTCAAAACTTGAAGAAAAACAAGAATATTCTGTTATGCAGGCTCTCACAGAAGTCTGAAGACCATATATAGTTTCAAATCGCAAACTAATAATAATTGAATTATATGAGAGCAAAAGCCCAAAAGCCAAACTATGAGATTGGAATACAAGGATCCCATCTACCCACAATCAGAAAAGAGTGGATGTTGTGATGCCCAATTCCAGAATCTTAAAACACCTCTAGGTCCATAAATATCTATATTGAAGAGGACCCATAATCATAATTAGATTGACTCTACTTCACATGATAAAAAGCGCACAAGACCAAATTAATTCAAATGGTATTCACAATATTTTGTCTCTGTCCACAAGAGGTTAACTAGATTAATTCAAATGGTATTCACAATATTTTATTATCATGGTCTCATTGGTAATCACGAGTATGCAACATCGATCGAACTAAGACCATGTCATTTTCATTAAGAAAAATCAGTAAAGGAAGCTAATGGAGCCTCACTGAGGGCCAAATCGCGATTTAAGAACAAAGTGAATATATTCGGTTGAATCCTTCGTTTCCATACATCGATGCCAAAGAAAAAATAATAATAATAATAATGAAACTGCCAAGAAGCCAAAAAAATTAATGGGCAATATAAAATTGGTCTGAAGACTAGAATACGAAGAAATTTGGCTTAATATTAGATACATTGATTTAGCATTTGAAGTTTATTTTTATAAAAAGTGGCATTCATAAATTCAGGTGATTTCAGCTTAGAGCCTTGGATACAATACAAGAGTTGCTAATTAAGCACATGCTGGTAAAGAAAATCATTGTAAAATATTGAAAGCAGGCTCAGTATAAACATTGCAAAAGTTCAGCAAATTGTAAAATCACAATTATAGAAAAGAAAACCCAACCAAATAGTTATTTCTTCTCTTTTCTTTATTTCTGAAGGGCATCTAGAGAAATCATCAAACACTAAAATAATTGCCTATCAAATAGTAATAATCATAAAATCAAATTCTACACATAGCACCATAATAATACACCATCCATTAAAAAAAAAAAAAAGAGCAAGTAAGAACTCCAAAATTTAGTTATCCAAATTTCAGCCATCAAACCGGAAGAGAAAAGATACTTAGCCTGTGTATGCTCCAAGAAAATAAGTCGTGTAGTCGTATAATACATAGCCGCTGCAAGATCCCTGATTGCAGCTTCAATAAGATTGATATCCATGGTTCCATCCAAATTTGCTCGGATCTATTTTTGAATGAGCGCATCTAATTGTCGAAATCCCTCCATTCTCTAAAAGATGAATATGGCTATGATCTCCAAGAATCACTTCACTTCCTCTACTCTCACAGTGAACCATAACACTAATGAAATTTTCCTGAAATTTTACTTTGAATCAAAGAGTAGCAAAATAGTTCTGAGCAAAACAATGTTCTTGAAATTTTGCTCTGAATCAAAACAGTTCAAAGACTGCCATAGCACTATATTTTTTAAATTTTTCTCTGAATCAAAGAGTAGCAAAACAATTTTCCTATATGTAAATTTTTTATATAAGTACATAAATTTTTTGAAATTTCAGAATTTTTCTATGTTTGAGGTTGTATTTTTATAAAGAGAGAGAAAGAGAGAGAGAGAGAGAGAGAGAGAGAGAGAGAGAAC